AGAGCAAAGGCTGCATAGTGGAGTGGATCTGGAGGGAGGGATTATAAAACAATGAAAGAATTTTTCTTTTACTTTTCAAAGAGAAGAGTGTACTGTCAAGGGGGCAAGGAGAAAAGTGCAACAATGAATGAATAGAAATGCAAAAAAAAATGGGGGGATATATGAATGGGTAGTCTTGTCAGAGTCAAGACTGCATAGTGGAGTGAAGACTGCATGAGTGGACTTGGGGGGAGGGATTGCATAAAAATTAAAGAATTTTTCTTTTCAAGGAGAAGAGTAAATTGGGGGGAGGGGGGTGGGCAGGGAGAAAAGTGCAACAGTGAATGACTGGAAACCCTAAGTCTCTGTAAACTTCCATTAAAATAAATTTTTAAAAAACTTAATAAAAATTTTTAAAGTGAGGAGTGTTTAAACCAAGTTGAATTTTTGTACTTATTAATGCATTTTGTAAAATGTGTTCAGATAGAAAAATAAAAACAACACATAAATTAGACTGAAGTAAATGGAAAATTCCTTAAGGGTATATTACTTGGAAGAAGGTATTCAAATCATCTACATCAGTACAAAACCAAACACAAACTATACTAGTCTTGTCTAAGCAACTCCTTTCTTTCAAAGTGGTCAAGGCCAGTACTTACCGTCCTCGCTCAGGATCTTGACCATTTAACACGGTGAACAGAAATTGTCTTCGACCTTTTTGTTCCAATGGATCCAGGTCTATCACTGTGTTAATTAAGAAAAAGAAAAACCAGCAAAGTCATATACAGTTGTTATTCGAGCAGTAAGACTGTCGCTAGAACTGGTAAAAACAGTCATACAATGCAGAGGTTAGCAAAACTATGGCCCATTTGTTCTGTAAGTAAAGTTTTATTGGAACACACCATGTTCGTTTGTCTATGAGTTGTATATGGCACCTGTAGAGCTACAATGGCAGAGTCATATGGTTATTATGACAGTGACTATATGGCCACAAAGTTTAAAACCTGTATTATCTGGACCTCTAAGAAAAACTTAGTTCACTCATAATTTGAATGGAAATTGTATGCTATATGCCAACACAAGTGTATGTGTTCCTACCATTCCACAGTTTAAAGAATTCTAAGAGGAACACCTGGAAATTTGGTTTCATAGCAGATTCAAATCAAGGTCCTTACCTCAACATCTATCCTCCCTTATCTTCTCATTTGTATTTGGGGATGTGTAGCATATGCTTGTACATAACCGCAAAAACATATAAGAAAGACTGAAGAACTCAGGCCTTTGAACTGTAGTGTCAGCAAAGAATATTGACTATACAATGGACTACCAACAGAACAAACAAATTTGCTTTGGAAGAATAGCCAGAGTACTCGACAGAATCAAGGATGGTGAGACTTTTTATCACATACTCTGGGCACATTATAAGGAGGAACCACTTCCTGGAAAGGGATATCTGTTTGGAAAAGTACGGAGTCAAAAAGAAAAAAAGAGGAAGAGATGGGTTGGCCCAAGGACTGGTTAAGCACAGCAGAGATTTTGAGGATGGCACAGAATCAGGCACTGCTTCATTCTATTAGACACCTGGCCATTGTGTGTTAGAGTTGTCTACCATGGCTAACAACATGTCTTCGTCTCCCTTTCAGCTATAGCTAAGTGATTAAGATCTGGCCATTGTGTTGTTTAAAAACTCTTAAAAAACTGTGTAAAAGGCTCAACTGAGCATTCTTCCTTTCTTCCACAGTCATGAAATGGATGGAGGTAAACAAACAGGTAGAAGGCAGGTGCTAAGATGACTAAGGGAGTCTCTAAAGTGGCACAAATGATTAAGAGTTGTGCTGCTAAGGGAAAGGTTGACAATTCAAATCCATCCAGAGACACTCCAAGAGTAAAGGCTGACAATCTTTTTCAAGGTCATAGCTTGAAAATGACATGAAGTACAGTTCTACTCTGAGTTATGAGTCTCAAGCAACTCAATGGCAATTAACAACAAGAATATGATAGAAAGTTTAGATCCCTTACATCTTGTAGTTAGCTACCATGCCAGTCCTGGTTGTTGTTTTGTGCCGTCACATCAACTGTGACTCATAGCGACCCTATGAGCTCTGAACCCTGCCTTAACCTGAACCAATCTCACTGCCTCCAACACACTTACCCTTATATTAGTCCATCTCACCCAGGGTCTTCCTTTCCTGCACTGTCCCTCTACCCTTCCAAGCATAATCTCTTTCCCAAGGACTTGTCTCTCCTGGCAACATGCCTAAAGTATGTCAGATGAAGCTTCAAAATCCTTTCTCCAAGGAGCAACCTGGTTTCACCCTCTCCAGATCAGACCTTTTTGCTCTCTTAGCAGTCCATGTTATGTTCAGTTCTCTTCTCTAGTACCACAACTCAAAGACATTGATTCTTCTTCTATCACCCGTAGTCATTGTCCAGCTCTCTGATGCTTGGCAAGTAGTTGTGAAGCCCATGGCCTGAATCAGGCACACCTTAGTCTTTAGACCAACATCATTGCTCTTCAGCACTCTAGAAAGGTAACTTAATAGATAGTTGTTTGGAGAGCTCTGGTGGCTTAATGATGAGCAGTTGTGCTGGTAACTCAAAAACACATGGTTTGGATCCACCAGTTGTTGCTACCTGGAAGAAAGATGAGCAGTTTCCTCCTATGCAATTTACTGTTTCTGAAAACCCACTGGAGGGTCAGTCATAAGTCAGTTGAAGTCCAATGGTACATAACAACAACAAAGTTGTTTCATGTTAGAAGTAAGTTTTATAGAATATATTAAAATTAAAGAAGCAAGAAGAACCTTAGAAATTAAAAATAAATACTTAATAGATGTATGGAAGATAAAATTAAGGAAATTTCTTAAGAGAAAAGGGAAAAGGCAGGTGGAATTAAAGAAGGAAAACAGTAAGAGAGATGATAAATTTGGAAGACTCAACAATCTACTACAGAAAAAAAAAGGAAAGAAAATGTTGTGGAAAAATTATGAATAAATACAATTGCCCATAATTAAAACCCATTAATTTCTAGTTGAAAGATAATACTGGATGCCCAGAACAATAAAAGAGGAAATATACACATTAGCCTGAAATTTGAAAATACTGGAAATAAAGGAGAAATTTAAATTTTCTGAAAATTGAAGAGAAGAAGGGGAAATTAATTTTCACACGAGAAGTTAGACTTCTTACCAGGATCCAGGAGACCACAGACTAATCGCTTTGAAATTGAAGTACAATTTTTCACCTATTGCTCACTCTAGCAGCACATATACTAAAACTGGAATAATTCCGAGATGATTAACATGGGTCCTGTGCAAGAATGACAGGCACATTCATAAAGTATTCCTTAATAGTTTACAATAAAGAGAAGTAAATATCTTCATCCTAGAATTCTGTTTGCTCAAAGTGTCAATCAAACATGACTGCAGAATAAATTTCCTGCATGAAAATATTTACTTCCAAAGTACTCTTTCTTAAGAGTTAATAGACACTGTGATTCATTAAAATAAGTACTTATGACAGAGCACATACAAGATCCAAGAGACGGGAAAACCAGGATAGGAGAGAATTACATAAAATTCTTCTGATGGCAGCAGTGGGATAATAGATATATAATGGGTAGAGAAAAACAAGAGAATGGAGGGAAGGAAAGGGGGGAAGTATAAATGCATGATAATTAATAGGTTGGGTTACTTGAAGCTGTTGTTGTTATGTGCTGTTAAGTCAAAATCGCCTTAGAGTGGACCTTCCTGTGAATTTTCAGAGACTGTAAATCATACGCAAGAAGAACATTCATCTTTATCCCATGCGGCAGCTGGTGAGTTCAAACTGCCTGTCTTTGGGTTGGCAGTGCAACTACTTACCCACTTAAGCCATTGAGGCTGTTAGAGGATGTAAAAAGAATTATCAAAAACAATTGTAGCAATATATACACAGGAAATTGCCAGAAATTCAAGCTGAATTCAGAAGAGAATGCAATACAAGTGGTATCATTGCTGATAAGTATTGGCTTAAAGCAGAAAATGTAAGAAAGATACTTACCTGTGTTTTACTATTTAAAACACATGACATCTGACTATGTGGATCATTAGATATCATGGATAACATTAATCCTAGAAAAGCTAATTGTGTTCATATGGAGCTTGTATACAGACCAAAGGCAGTCCTTGAAATACAACTGCATGATCTAAAATCAGAAAAGACATGTGTCAAGTCAGTACACTTTCACCATACTTATTAGTTCTGCATGCTGAGCAAACAGTCTGAGAAACTGAAATATATGAAAAAGAATGCAGGATCAGGACTGGAGGAAGATGTAACAAGCAGATAATACAACTTACTTGCTGAAATTGAAGAAGACTTGAAGTATCTGTATTTCATTGACTATGCAAAGGCATTTGACTGTATGGATCACAACAAATTGTGGGTAACTTAGAAGAAAATGGCAATCCCTGAACACTTGAGTGTGCCTATACTTGGACCATAAAGCAGTCCTCAGAACAGAGCAAGAAAATACTGCATGGTTCAAAATCAGAAAAGGAGTGTTTCAAGGATGCATCTTGCCTCCATATCTTTTCAGCCTATAATGCAGAACAAATCATTCAGAAAGCTGGGCTTTATGAGGAAGAATGTGGCATCAGGATTGGAGGAAGACTCATCAACAATCTATGCTATGTAGATGACACACCTTGCTTCCTGAAACTGAAGAGGATTTGAAGAGTTTGCTTTAGAAGGTCAAGGATTGTAGTCTTCAATATACAATTTAAGCTCAACATCAAGAAGACAAAGATTCTCATCACTGGGCCAATTGACAGCACCATGGTTGTTGGAAGAAGGGATTAAAGTTGTTAATAATTACAGCTTGCTCAGCTCCAAAATCTTGGCACCAGCAGTCAGGATATCAAAAGATTAATCGCCTTGAGAAAATCTGCTGTCAGGAACCTCTCCCAAGTACTGGAAAGCAATGATGTCAGTCTAGAGAATAAAGTGCACATAAACCAGGCCATGGTCTTTGCAGTTACTTGAGAGAGAATTGGATAATGAATAAAGACGACAGAAGAAGAATTGATGCCGTCAAGTTGTGGTGCTGGTGAAGAGTCTTGAACACACCATGGACCGTCAATAGAACAAACGGGTCTGTTTTGGAGAGGGTGAAAACAAGTTTCTCCTTGGAGGCTAGGATTTTTTTGAAGCTCCATCTCACGTACTTTGGTCACATGGCCAGGAGACACTGGTCCTTGGAGAAGGACATCATGTGTTTGGAAGGGTGGAGGGACAGTGCAGGAGAGAAAGATCCTGTATGAGACAGATTGATACAATAACTGGGACAATGGAGGTTGGTGTGTTGGAATCAGTGAGACTGGGACAGGGAAGGGTTCAGAGCTGCTGTACATAATAGGGTCGCTATGGGTCACAGTGATTCAATGGCACATAACAAACAACAAAGCCTTTAATACGGATTACACCTCAATCTCAATAAAACAATATTTTCACAGTATTACCAATAAGCAACATCACAATAAATGGGGAAAAGTCATTAAGGATTTAGTTTTTCTTAGATCTATAATGTTCACAGACAATCCCAGAGGTTCATGGTTCGAATCCACAAGGTGCTCTGCTGGAGAAGGAGGAACAATCAGATCCGATTTGATGGTATACACACACACACACACACACACACACACACACACACACACTTAAAAAAGCAAAACAAAACAAACCCAAAAAATATTTATAATGTTCAC